CAGTATTAGCTTGTCATATTTGGATTTACATAATCCCAAACAAAAATAATAATAATAATAATAATAATAATAATAATAATAATAATAATAATAATAAATACACTTAAATTAAAGAATTAAAATTTATTGTATAACAAAAATGGGACATAAAGGGAAGAAATTTTTGTTCAATACCAAAATGAATGGCAAAATAGTGTAGATGAATAGTGTTGCACCATATTCATTTACACTAGAATGGTGCAAAGCATTGAGCGTGGTTGGAAAGGATATGCACCATGAACAAAATGGTGTTTTTGGGATGGCATTGGAGATGCCCTAAATGCAAAAATATATTCTTTGTCGTAAGCATTTTGTTCAGAATCACAGAGTACTTGAATTTTGACAAGTTGACGTTCCCTTCGTAAGAGAAGTTGAAATCCAAAGCAAAATTTGTTGTAACATTTAACTCCTAGAGTTTCCGTCCAGATATGATGTCGATGGAGAAGGTGATGATTGAGGCACACTGCACAGAATGGTGGTTGTGTAACATGACACATAAGCCTTCGTCGTTCGGAGATGGTGAGAGGTGGAAATGGTGGATGTTGGGAGGATTAGAGTTAACGAGGCACGCAGCACGCTGTACACAATGGTGGTTGTGTAACATGACACATAAGCCTTCGTCCTTCGGAGATGGTGGGAGGTGGAAATGGTGGATGTTGGGTGGATTAGAGTTAATGAGTATTTGAATTAATATTATGGTTTGTTAATTATTTATATAATATAAAAAGATGTGATTTTCGTTAAGTACTTTTATTAAGTAGGTTAAAAATTAATTACACTAAAAAGAGGAAATATTTTGAGTCTCTTGAGAAAAAGAGGTATGCGGGCTAATTTTCCCATGCCTAGTTATAAAAATTCTTCATTTTTAAAGAGATGCATGCCCTCAATCTGCACAAGGACAGATTTAGAAACGAATTACAAGTCGGGCTAATACGTAGAAAAATATTAATTTACACACACAAAAAATAATTTTACACTAATTTGTTTTTTTTACACTAAAAAAAAAATAGGAGGCCAACTGGGCTACGGGCCAACTCCCTAAATCCATCTCTGGTCTACCCCTCTTATAAGCACATACATCTTCAAAAATAAATAAAGTTACTTTTTTTCGTCTCTCAAGAAAATTGAACAAGCTCAACTATTTTCGAAATCAATAGTAGTCAACGATTACAATAATAATTTTACGTAACATCTTATATGACATAATTTTAATAATTCAAAAAATGAATAATTTTTAATAATATTATGTCACATGTCATGTAACATATGATGACTGTCGTAGTCGCTGATTATGAATAACACTTTTTGGTTGAAATGCACAAACCAATCTGATTAATGTTGCGGGAACAACTCGATTAATCAAAGTCGCGTTTACGCAAAGCAAAGTCGCGTTTTCTTTGGCAGAGCACCACGACTCTATCAATTTCCGGAGTATAAGGCCCCTTCGCCTCGACTGTTTTTGTCCCTTCCGTTTCTTCAAACCCTATCGAATTAGGGTATCCTAGATCTCGTATTTGTTCGCTTTAATTTTCATTTTCCTCATCGAATTTCCCAATATTTTTTGATTAGGGTTAAGGAATTTCAGTTTCAGTTCACAATGATGCAACAACCCGGAGGAGCTGTCCCACCACCAATGGCTATGGATCAGCAACAGCAGCACCAGCAACACCAGTACCCGCCTCAGCAATGGATGATGATGCCGCCGCAAGCTCCGCAACCCTGGGCCCAACAACCACCATTCCAACAGCAACAGCAGTACGGTGCTGCTCCAGCAAACGTTTCTGCTCCTGCAGTGGCCTCTGGTGGATCCGACGAGCTTCGGTCGCTGTGGATCGGGGACCTTCAATACTGGATGGACGAGAATTATCTCACCACTTGCTTCTACCATACTGGCGAGGTATATATTTTTTTGATAAAATTTTGCTATTTATTTTTTTATTTTCTTTTCCCAAAGTTGAATTTTTATTGATCAATTTATGCACTTTGTCGTGAATCTTTTTTCTCACTCTTAGTTGTATGAATGGAAAGAAAATATTTCGCTTATTGAATAACGTGAGTAGATAATGAATCTTATTTGACAAAGTTTTGGTACCTCAATAAACATAATTTGCTTCTTTGTCTATGGAAAACTGTTCTGTTTGGTACACTGTGTACAGGTTATATAGTTGACCATCAATAATCAACGAGGAAAAAAGTTTTTTCTTCTGGGGGTGGGAGCAGGGTGACTTGGCATTCTTCTTAGCATTATGAATTTTATTATTCTATCCCTTGTTTAAACAATTTAGTTGTTTATCTATTGTGGTTTACCTGTTGTTCTGTGATCACCAACTGCCGCCTTCTATGTTCAGCTCGTATCTGCAAAGGTAATCCGTAACAAGCAAACTGGTCAGTCTGAGCATTACGGGTTTCTGGAGTTCAGAACTCATGCTGCTGCTGAAAATATTTTACAAACTTACAATGGTGCGCTGATGCCAAATGCTGAGCAATCTTTCCGCATGAATTGGGCTTCTCCTGGAACTGGTCAAAAGCGCACAGATGACACTCCTGACTACACTATATTTGTTGGTGATTTGGCTCCTGATGTTACAGATTATCTCCTACAAGAGACATTTTCTAGTGTGTACTCATCAGTCAAGGGTGCAAAAGTTGTTACTGATAGGAACACTGGACGTTCCAAAGGTTATGGATTCGTTAAATTTGGGGATGAGGGTGAACAACAGCGGGCCATGACCGAAATGAATGGTATTCCCTGTTCTTCTAGGCCCATGAGAATTGGCCCTGCTGCTAACAGAACACCAATGACTACTACTTCTACTGAGAAAGGTATGTTTTTAAGTAGTTCCTCCCACATCCATATGGCAATAATTTATGTTGATCTACCTCTTCAATTTGCTTGTTTTATTTTTTCAAGCTGTTTGGTGCATGCTGTAGAAAATCCAAAACACGAGTTGGTGAAGTTGTTACCCCATCCTTGATGTGCTTCTGGAGTTTATTTATGGCGTTTTTAAATTTTATCGAGCTTATAGATATGGTCTTGAAGATAAACCGGAGTTTACCAAGTCATTTCCTTCCTGTACTTTTTCTAAACTTGGGCACTGTAGTTCTGTTGAGACTTGAAAAAACTTATAAAACTCATGTTGTCTCACAGCAGGAAACAAAGAGGCTCTCATTTACGGGGGCCTGGATGATTTCAGCTGAAATGGTTCCCCTTTAATGCGTGGCCTCCTTTTAGGTCAGTTAACTTGTTTTGGCGATAAGATTCCTTTTTATCTTTTCTTTGTAGCGTTTCTTATGCTGCGATTCACTTAATTCCAGTTCCGTATTCTTTAAGTTACAAGTCAATTAAATTAAAATTCATTTTCTTTGGAGATTACATTCCATTGCCTCTACTTTTCTTGTTGATGCTAGTCCACTTCTGTGGGCATTCTGTTACATCAATTTCCTCTTGCAATTTTTATTCATTTCCCAAATGCCTTCTAGGAGACCTCTTCAAAATTTAATTTTCAGAACGGATATAGATGATTGTATTAATGGAAGTCAATAGACAAAGTTTTGAGATGTGACTTTGGTTTTGCGTTTCCCCGAAGTCAAGCAACTTTGTTTTCTTTCTTTATTTTTAATAGCCTGTAAGAGATTTTTAAAGAAATGTTTTCTTTAACGAATTTAGAAGTATTTCTTTTAGTATATTCATTACACGAGAAGCTTTCTTTTCAATTATATAACTATAGTGATCTAGGGCTTAAGTGGAAGTGTTATTCAGCTGTTGACATTATGAACTTTGACAGCTCTCTAACACCTTTTGGGAACTTATGGAATATTCCAATTCTTGTTATAATGATTTCCAAATATTAGAAGTGGCCTTTTAGGTTCTTTATAATTCCATTGGTCACCTGTAATGTCTGAGTGCAGTTTCCTGGTGAAAGGGCGGTAACCTTATCTAATCCCTTTAGCTAATGAAACCTAGCAATGCAAGCAAGTTGGGAAAGAAGAAACTCATTCCACCATCCACTTGGATTACTGAAATTGCTTAATTGGAGCCAACTACATGCAAATGAACTAATTCTTTGCCAACTTGCAATGATTTTTTGTCCATCATATCACTAGTATGATCAAGATCTTCACAAAAGGCTTTATAAAGCCTGTGCTGAATGGTGTTTTCTCATCCTTAATATCTAATACATAATTCCATCTATAGCTTAACTCTTCAACCATGGTATGAAAGCAAGCAATAAGTTGGTCTAGTCTCTCAACCAGCTTTTCCTTTCTTCAGTGATGAGTTAAAGCTTTTCGTAAAAATCTGCTAATTGCTTTCATCTTTTAGTATTTTACTGCTTTTTCTCCTTCTAAAGCAGTATTTCTATCAGTTAGAGATCTCTCCACTACTATCATAGTTATCAAGTCATCTTTGCAATTGGCTTGTTGGTTGGCTTAATTACGGTCGAAGGGCTTGTAGCCAAAAGTTGTCTTAATAATTTTTTTCTTCCTCTACCTTTTATTCCATCTATCCTCTACCCGGATCTGGATGATCCCACATAGAAAGGCCTTCGCAAGGACTTGGTCTCAACAGAATGGAAAAAGCCCATAATTATGTGTTATACTTAAAGAAAACCAACTTGATAGCCATGTGAGGATTGGGAGAAGTCAATACTACAACTCGTGAGAAGCACATGAATGAACCATCAGTCTTCCCAATAACCAAGAGCTCCCCGACTACAGTGGAAGCCGTCAACTACTAAAAAAATATTGTCGATAGCCACACAAATCAACACTGCTGTTGTTCTTACCGCAGCCTCATTCAATCACGCCTACAGTTGAATTGAGTGAGCAAATCAGCTTTGTGATTGACTTTTTATTTATTCAAGGTCAAGAGAAAGAAACTTATTTGCGTCTGGCTCTTGACCATAAGAATTTATGTTCGACTCCATTCATAACGAACGTCTCATTTTGGGTCAGCAAATCACCAAGTCAGCCATTTGCCTGTTGGTTCGATTCTAAGAGGTCGTGGTAACGTGAAGTAAAGTGCTGATTCACATGACATTTTAGAAACTTACGATTTTTTTTTTTAAGTACGAGAACATCTAACAGTCTGCCGATCTATGTCTAAGGACATACTTGTGACTACTTGACATTGGAAGCTTCGACGAGACTCTTTTTTGAAGGTAGTGAAGGTTGTGCCGGTGGCCCGTAATGAAGGATGGGACTCCAGATTTTGCAAAGAAAATACTTATGTTTCTAATATAATTAATTCATGTATTAAGAAAATTCAACATCACTCCTTTATTTAGGAGAAAATGTGAACATTGTCTTGAACATTTTGGAGTACAATCTTCAACTTTTTCTCAGACAGGAAGAATTAATTTTGCTGATATATATCCCATAAGAGAGGTCCGGGTCCATAAATTCAATAGAATTGATAAATATATGGATCTGTTTATGTATTATAAGTGTAGATTAACATTTGCCACTTAGTCATTTGAGGCTGGTGCAGTAATATTTGCTGCTGTTGAGAGCCCGATGCAAGTCTCTTATTCATTGGAGATATCATGAATTTTGTGATCCTCTACACCTATTTTGACCATGGTGGGAGCATAATTTCAGGCCATGGTGTCATGTCTGTATGTTGTATCCAGTAATCTTCTAAGGTAAAAAGAATCTGTTGCTATAGGCGTGCATTTTTGGATAACCTCACTAGTGGCCTTGTACACAGTCACAAAAAAAAAAACTTTAAGGTTCATGGTTTGCAAACTTGCAATATTGCAGAATGTGCCATGGTTATTGAAATCTTAGATTTGCAATACTATTCGACTTTGCAATGGTGTCCCTGCATGTTATTGTTCAATCATATCTGGGGTCATCACTTTCGCTATTAAATTCTTTGACATTCTTGCTCAGTTGTGATTGTAAACACCCTGTACCCCCCTCACGAGGGAGGTAAAGCGGTCACATTTCTTTCTTGGTTGAGAAAATTTTTATTAAAATGTATGTTTTTATCACACACATGTAACAAGATGTTTTTGGACCATTTTCCTTTTCTGAGGTAGGCGACACTACTTTATGCTTGGTGAACAAAGTTCTTTTTTTTTTTTTTTGGGGGTGGGGGTGGGGAACTGATTTACTCCTGTTAAATGCGATGCCCCCTGGCTAAGGTGACCAGATACATGTATTTTTTTTTCAACAATTGGTGCTTTCACATTACTATTAGGGTTCTATCCTGGTGTGGGTTTCCTTAATGATTCCTTAAAGATCTCGTGCTGGCCTTCTTCACATTCATATATCATTTGCAGTTTCTTTCCAGAATATTCAAGGAAATCAGGGCGACAGCGATCCAAATAACACCACAGTGCGTAGTTTTTTTTTTTTGTTTGTATTATATATTTTCTCACCTTTATAGTAGTGACCCTTCAATTCGTATCACAAGTGCAGATATTTGTTGGTGGTCTAGACCCCAATGTTACGGATGACCATTTGAAGCAAGTCTTTTCCCCATATGGTGAACTAGTCCATGTAAAAATACCAATAGGAAAGCGTTGCGGGTTTGTCCAGTTTGCTAATCGGTAAGCATGCACATGCCTGTGGTGTAATATAGTCTTGCAAGTTTTGTGGTTTTATATTATTCTTTGCCATGTTGTGCTCCAGGCCATCTGCTGAACAAGCTCTATCAAGCTTGAATGGTACCCAATTAGGTGGGCAAAGTATTCGCCTTTCATGGGGACGTAGTCCTTCGAACAGACAGGTTTGGGTCATAAGTATACTTTGTAGTTCTAGCTTACCATTTGTGCAACTTGTATTCTGATTTCAATTTTGTCTCAGTCGGATCAGACTCAATTGGGTGGTGGTTCATATTATGGTTACACACAAGGGGGGTACGAAGCTTATGGTAGCTATGCTCCACCTCAAGATCCAAACATGTACTATGGAGGTGCGGGGTATGCAAATTATCAACAGCCACATTAGGTATTATTCCATCACAATTTTAGTTTTCTCTATGCAATGTTTACATTCACTTGATTTGTATGTGACAAATCGAAAGATTAAAATATCAACATGATGTCTAAAATCGTGGTTAATCCAAACGAATGTGATTACTCCCAACGGTAAATTCTGATACCTGTAGTTTCTGTGGGCAGGATTGAGATTCTCATTTGCTTAGTGGTGGCTTGATCTTCTGGGAAACTATAAATTATTTTGTTAAACAAAGGGTGGATATGATTTTATTTTAATTTATTTCTGCTGGAACACAGTGCGACCGTATATCCCTAGCTAGCATATTTGACACTGATTGCTTGTTTCTCCATTGAATTCCTGGCTCACTAGTAGTGAATGGATCACTTTTGCCTCGTTTCTTCTCTCTTTTAATGTCATTGTGCTGGAGGATTCTGATTACATGCTCTAATTTTTTTTTGCAGCGATCTGCTCTGCAGAGGAATTCTTGGAGCTGTGCGAATTACCTTGGATGCGTCCCTGTGTAGCTTCATCGATTTATACAGCTAGCTTAACTGGTTGATAACATTACTGAGTTTGGTTTGTGTACTAGACGATACGTGTTCTGCCATATTACTGTGGATTCTGTTTACATTTTCCAATTTTAGCTTTCGGAGGTTTTCGAATGTTATTTTGATTGCATATTATTATGATTAAATGTTTGCTTTTTTGGTGTCTTGAGTTTTCGAGATTTGAAGTTCATGGCTTGAATATTTGATTCGAATGCCCCGAAGTGAAAGAAAATGAAAATTGAAAGATAATATGGTTTTCCCTTGTGGCACTTCAAGGATGACCCTTGTATAAGTTGGGAATGTTCAGTGGCTGCTCACGATGGTTATAGGTCTCGTTTGACAAGACTTTTGAAAAGTTAAAAGTTTTTGAACTTGTTTAGATAATTTTTGAAAGTGTTTTGTCTGATGAAAAGAGCTTTTAGAATAAGCGGACCTAAGGTTGCTTTTTCAGGTCTCACTTCTACAAAAAAACAAGAAAGCAAAATTTTCGTGGATTGTAACAATTAGGTGCTAAAATTCAGCCCTTAAAATTATGTTTAAAGAAATTATTCAAATTAATATTTTAAAGAGGAGTATGTCTTTAAAATTAAGGATAATGTCACTTGTAAACCTTTTTTTACGTCATGTTTGGCATTAGCATTGTTGCCAACAAATGATTGGTTGATTTTTTATTTTTTAAAAAATTGTTCAATGGTATATATTGTCACAGGATAATGTATAAAATCTGACGTACACCAAACATGATTGTATAATTAAATGAATTTAAAAATATTTCAATAGTCAACACTACGTATATTGATCCAACTAAGTAGTATATACAAAGAAAATAGAGGAAAATAAGATAATAATATGGAGGGAAAATGGTGAAAATAAAGTATAGGAAAAAATAATATTTAAAAAATTTTACTCTTTAAATTTACGGTTCTTCTTTAAATAGTAAAATACACTTTCTAAAATAGGGACTCGACTTTCTACACCAAAAGTATTATATTATATTAAATGAAGGTATTCGTGCTTGAATAGGGGCTGAAGATCAGCCTCTTGTGGTTGTTTTTATTCGTCTCAAAATATAAAAAATATACAGATTTTGTGAACATTTAATAATTTTTGTGAATACTAATAATTTTTAGAAATAAGCATAAAAATAAAATTAAGTTATTCTTGCATTCCATTGGTTTATCTTCCACGATAGTACGATACTAACGTAAGGGTATCTTGAAATATGATTCGCCGAATCACTGTTGGAAGGAAACCATCCCCAAATGAAGACAATTTTACCAGATAAATCCAGGACCCCTCACTGCATAATCTACTGAGAAGACTTTTTTTCCAAGTTTTTTTTCCTAATTCCCAGGAAACAAAAATCTGATGAAAAACATGGAACCAAAATCGACGATTGTTGTGTTGACGGTGCTTTTAGTAGTAGGCACGGGAGCAGAATATGTTAGACCTCCGCCTCGTAAAACGCTGCACTTCCCATGGAGCACTAAGGCTTCTTCTCATCCTCAACAGGTGAATCCTGTTCTTGTTTTTACTTTTATTTATGAGTGGGCTTTCTTGAAATTTGTATTATTAGTCCTTTTTTCCGGCTTTGAATTGATTATCTGAATAGTCAAAGATTTCTTCATACTGTTTAGGTACATCATCAATCACCTGATTAAACTGTGTGTCACTAAATTAATTCTTGTTTCTTCGAGGAGTTGCTCATGATCGAATCATAGTGTTGAATACTTTTCATGGAGTCAAATTCTTCAAAAATAGCGAACTTTCTAAGAGATTGTTGACATAAATATTCCATAATTTCAGAATTGTTTCTGTTGTCAAGATTGTGTAACTGGGTTTTTCTCTTGAACTGGCAATTGAGTTCGTGCAAATGGCCATTGCAGGTTCACATCTCGTTGGCTGGAGATAAACATATGCGGATCACGTGGATCACTAGTGATAAATCTTCTCCTTCAATTGTTGAATATGGAACTTCACGGAGAAGCTACAACAATATAGCTGAAGGAGAGAGTACTAGTTATAGTTACTTTCTGTATAAGTCGGGAAAGATACACCATACTGTCATTGGGCCACTTGAAGATGATACTGTGTATTTCTATCGATGTGGGGGAAATGGTCAGGAGTTCCAGTTTAAAACCCCGCCATCTCAGTTTCCGGTTACATTTGCAGTGGCTGGCGACTTGGGTCAGACTGGATGGACTAAATCGACTATAGACCATATAGAGCAGTGCAAATATGATGTTTACGTGCTTCCTGGAGACCTCTCGTATGCTGATTACATGCAGCATAGGTGGGACACGTTTGGGGAGCTAGTGCAGCCACTTGCTAGTTCAAGACCCTGGATGGTGACGCAAGGGAACCACGAGAAGGAGGAGATACCAATCTTAAAGAAGGGGTTCGTATCCTATAATTCGAGATGGAAGATGCCATTTGACGAGAGTGGGTCCAGTTCAAATCTTTATTATTCATTCGAAGTTGCAGGAGTTCATGTTATCATGCTTGGTTCGTATACAGATTATGATGAGTACTCTGGTCAATATAGTTGGCTGAAGGTCAGTTGACACAATATTTTCTTCACTGAATTTGTTTGGACTTTTGTAATAATTTTACTTTATTTGATCAATTCATTATGTGTGCTTTAGAGAAACAAGTATGACATCTAGGTTTCTTCACCAGGAGTTGGGAAACTAATGCTGTAGGTATACTTAGGTGATCGAATAATAGTGGATGACTGTGTCGTTGGTTGACCTTTTTAACTCTCCCAATTGAATTTATTTTTCACTCGTGCATTGCCTTCTGCTGCTTCTATCCTAAGGCCAGTCTTTCTCTATCTCAGTCTTGCTGATTACCTATTGCTATTTGAGCCCCAAAAGCTTAGTAACTGAACACTTGAATGCTTCACCGTGCTCCACTTTGTGCCAAAACACTTGCCTACCAACGATGCTCATTCTCGTCAAAGTTCCAACTTCCATGTTGTGCGCTCATTTCATACATCTCTTATGGCAAATAAATATCCAAGAACCATAACCTCTTTCCTATTGTCAAATAGACCAGTATATTCACCCGACATTGAATAAATTGTGTATAGAAACGGATCGTGAAAAGGGAGTAACATTGTGCTATTATTGAAGCATGATTTTTAAGTTGATCTCTCGTGCTGATATAACCGATTGTTTATGCAACTTCAAATTGTAGGCCGATCTTTCAAAGGTGGATCGTGAGAGGACACCCTGGCTCCTAGCAGTATTCCACGTGCCATGGTATAATAGCAATTATGCTCATCAAGGTGAAGGTGATGACATGATGGCATCCATGGAACCGTTGCTTTATGCGGCTGGTGTGGACGTTGTGTTTGCTGGCCATGTGCATGCTTATGAGCGCTCGGTAAGCCATACTGTTGGTAGCTTCTGTTAGCATTTTGAATCTATAGGTACTTGACCAATTAACATAATTGTGCAACAGAGACGTGTTTATAATGGTAAATCAGATGCTTGCGGACCCATCCACATAACAATTGGTGACGGTGGAAACCGAGAAGGTTTAGCACACAAGTAAGCCTTCTCGTAGTAAGATCTGTACATTACAAAGCCGAGCAAAAAAAAAAAAACTATAAACAGTTGTACAAGTTACTGGCTTTATATTCTTCATTATGCATTTCTTTAACTATAAAATTATTATCAGGTACTTGAAACCCCATCCTGAATGGTCGGTCTTCCGTGAAGCAAGCTTTGGTCATGGCGAGTTCAGGATAATGAACTCGACTCATGCATTTTGGAGCTGGCATAGGAATGATGATGATGAATCGGTGAGGTCTGACCAGGTCTGGATAACCTCTTTGGTTGGTTCAGGTTGTCTTTCTGAAAGAAGTCGGGAACTAAGAAACATACTCATGGAACCTTAAAATTGGTGGGCTCGGGTACGTCTTCTGTGTTATCAGGTGCAGTCCTTGGGTATATATAAATACTTGTCCTTAGTTGGGACAACCTAGTTTCTTTTATGGATCATTAGCTCCAAACTGTTTCACAGACATGTCTACGTTTGTAATACGGTAACCATATATGTTAATATCGTATCCTTGTTCCATCCAACACAATCAAATTCCTCACCTACCTCGAGAATAGCACTGAGCCAGGAGGAAATCCTTCATCTAATACCATGTTCAGTGACGGAACTAGCCTGCAAAATGCTTCGCTAACTAATGGACTATGAGGGGGCACGCGAACGGGAACTGACCAAGAACGCCTGCTGCTACAGCTTCAAATTCTTCTCTCTCTTGGTACTCAATTGCTCCCATCTAATGGCTTTCTAAGAAGCCTTTTTACTACAAAACCTTTTCTTATATCACCAATGGCTACTTCAGAGGCCAATAGTGCATCAAGATTCAATGTCTACCGGTTGGTTCGGTTCGTTGAACAATGATAGAAGGATCTAATAGCTACATGCTTTTCAATAGTAAGAGATTGTTTGACATGGCTTTTGTTTTTACTTTTGCTTCTACTTCTTGTAGAAGAGCTTTGGAAGAAGCTATCTTAATATGTTTTGAATTAAATTTTTAAAAGTGATTTCTATTCTGAAAGTGCTTTTAGAGGAAGTCACGTTTAAGTCATGTTTCACTATAAGTTCTTTTAACTAAAAGCACTTTCATAAAATTAGCTAAACGGATCCTAAACTTGATAACAACTTCTTTGGGACCTCGAGAAGCTGATCTTTTGTTATCAAACAGTTCGTATTCTGGCTTGGAGTTGATGCCTCCACTCATCAAAATCGTAACGTTTTTGTGAATTTTATGCATTTCCTCTACATCAAAACCAACAAAACCGAATCCCAATTCCCCATTTCCCAAAATTGAGGTTTCAACACAAGCATCCCTCTCTCTTTCAGTATGCATTTTGCCCCCAAAAGATGGCTGCTTTCGTCGCAATTAGCCCGACCCATTTCATACCCCTCTTCAGGTAATCTAATAAGTAAACGGGCTAGAAAATAAACATCAGAAACTGAAATCACGTCGACATTTTTAAGCCACGGAGTTGCGATTCTATTTGAATTGGTCGGTTTCGCGGTCCAAATGCTACAAAAGGATTTGTGGTACATGCTGAGTGCAAATGAGTTGTGCTTGTTACAAATTTTCATGTGCACTTATTCAAGTCAAATAACATATATCACCAAGTTTTTAGAAATAAGTACAAGTTATTTCTTAAGTAATTTATATTTCTAAACAATTTTAAGTTATTATTTACTTTTAAGTAAAAAAAAGTTACTTTAAAAGTGATTCTTACATCACTTTTACATTAACTTGTTTCTAACTTTAATGAATAAAAACTTATTTACTTTACAATTTACTCATAAGTAAAAATTCTAATCTTAGCCAAATTTATGCCATAAACAGAAATTCACAATTCCATACAAAATTTCAGCCAGCTTTTCTCAAATCAGATGAAAAAAAAAAAGTGAAAAGAACCATGGAGGAGGAGGAAGTGTGGTGCCCACGCAGACCCTTTCATAAGACATCTCCATTAGACACCATTATCCTCAAGAGCTCCATCTAAAGTTCCAATCTTTAGCCTAGTGACAAGGGCAAATTGGACATTTCACGAATATCTCTGGCCCAATAACCTGGTAATGGAGTTGGTGACACGAGCATTTGACCAACTGAACCACACGCCATCATCGCTGTTGAAACTTTAGCTCTGAAATTTGCTAAAATTTCGAAAATCTGTATCATTTTTCAAAGGCCCAGTTTTTGAAAATGCACGATTTTTGCTTCACAATCCCATATGGGCTAATTCTGGTGTGTGGTGGGATCATTGGATATGCCAAGAAAGGCAGCACAGCCTCGCTCGCCGGAGGCCTGGGCACCGGATTCTTGCTCATCCTAGCCGGTTATCTCAGCCAACAAGCTTTTCACAAACGCAAAAACTCTTATTTTGCCTTGATAATTGAAACTGGTACTGCTTATCTTCTTCAAACATATTTTGGGCAATTTTGTTGCGATTATGTGATTATTTGATGTATTTTGGAGAATCATGCATTTATCTATATCCGGTTAAAACAAAATTGAATTTATGTGGTTTGGATCTAATTAGTTAGCTTTTCTTTTACATATTCTTGAGAGAGCATGTAATCTCTAATTAGAACTTGCAATAATATGTATTTCAAGACTTCCCAGCGATTTTTCAGAAATGAAGTAGGCAACTATCGTAATTGTGTGGATCTGAAAATGAATTTGGTTTCTGTTTGTATAAAAAATTGTTTTGGTTAATTCTAAAACTCTGTGTCCTGGTTATAACTATGATCATGTTTCTTCTTGCGATTTACGCGAATGTTATATTCAATGAGAATTATTACTTATGGACTACTAACTTTTTCTCTCGTCTTAGCTGCTGTGCTCATAAAATTTCTGTGATATTTGGCTGCGATCTGGTCTTTGAACTTGTGTATCTGTGAGACATTCTGTTTATTGTTGCACAAATGAAAAATGAAATCATACTAATAATTTTTCGTGATGGGAAAGGATCCACTGTTTTTTCTTATCTAAAATAAAGAATTGATGTCTCTTTCGTCATGCTGTGCTGGTATGTAGATGCAGACTTAAATTGTAAGAAGTTGACAATGAATCTGAAATCTTGGAAAGAGTAACTCTGGACATTTATAGTCTTCTTCTTACCAACGGTAGAATATGAAGCTGATATGATTTAACACTAGTACTGTAATATAGTACTTAGTTCTCTTATGGCAGGTAATAGTGAAAGTCTAGATACATTTGTTAGTATCCCATTAATATTTAAGTCTCAACTGTGCCAACTTGTCATATAGTTATCGACGAAAGAAAAGTTCACAGGCTTCCTTTCTTTTACATTTTTTTAACGTCATCATAATTTTGGTTTCGAGTTATATCTACTTCTGTTCTCATTAGTTTTACATTGTTTCAAACAGCTTGTGCCGCCATACTGACTTGGGTCATGGGACAGCGTTACATGAAAACTTCAAAGATAATGCCAGCTGGTATTGTTGCTGGGATCAGGTAACTGAAAATGATTAAATTGCCCCCTCACATCTGGTCTTTTGTATTTAAACTCATGCTGTGGGAGTTTTGGAGTTGGTGTATTCGTTCCTTCTATCATATCATGCCAAAAGACTTGAGATGCATATCTGGGTATAGCCGCACTAATCAATCATTTGCTGGTTGGCTTCACATTAAATATTCATACTGTATTTTTTTTTGATATGTTTAATATTTCTATATTACCGCATATCAGGACAATCATTTCCTCGTAAATTGCTTTTCAAAAATGAGAAGTGCAATTAAGTTAGGGAAGGTTGGAAGTTGAGACCTCTAGACATCACTAAATATAACATTGGAAGTCCGGTCATGTTGAGATTTTACAATTTAAAGATACAAGCTCTACTGCATTTCCTATGATTGAATAACCAGAACTTGAAGGGGTAAAATTTTTTGTCAGATAAAATGAGGGATCTTATATTTTAGGGGAACATTTTGGTGCTGCTGCATGGTAAGATTTTACATGTCTTGATACCATTTCTAAATATCCTAATTACTATGGAGAAAAAAAGAAAATTAAATTAATCTATGACTGGGTGTTTACCATAATTGGAGTTTTCATAGTGTATTCCTTTTATTTCTTCGCTAATTCTCATAATAAAATAAAATAGTGAATATATATTTGGAGTTACAAATTCAATTAACTTCTACCTGTGATTATATCAAGAAAGTTAGTGATTGTCAAGTCAAGTCATTTGCTAATCCAAAATCAATTGCAAAAGGAGTTTTTGCAACAAAGTAAGTTGATTTAGATGGCTGTGTGGGTGTGTGCGAGATAGAGAGACAGAGAAATGACAGTTAAAAAAGACGAAGCAGTCATATCAACTCATTCCTAATTTGGGATAATTATATCTGAATAGTCACCAATGAAATCATTGTTAATTCTAAGGGCACATAGTTATTTTCTTGTAGCTAATCAACTAATCTTGCATTTAACCTTACAAAGATCTATTTGTCTACTTACATTTTATTGACTCCTAAAGAAAAAAATATGCTAATCAGATTCAATTCCTAAAAACCCGAATCATTACTTTTGCATTAGCAACAAGACAAGTTGTTTATTAAGGTTGCCTTTTCTTGTTAGTTTGCAGCAGAATGAATGGCACTAGTAAGCTTGGACTGATTTAACACTGCAAATCGTGCCTTGTGCTTAAATTTCTTGGTTGAGCTGTATATAGCTTGGTGAAATTGATGTCATGGACTAGTAGGACACATTACCTACATTATATATTTACTCAAGTTACTAAGCTAGTCTCTTTGGCACTATTTCTTACCTGCCCTGGTTCGTCATTGGTGAAGTACTTATCTGGGTGTCCACAGTTGTATATTTGTGTGTTTGCAACCTAAGAAATTAGCGATGAAAATGAGAATCTCTTCAATAAAATTTTGTGGTGGATGCCTTTTTTGGTGGATTTGGGCCTCAACAAATGCAAGAAGGGCATTTAATCACTCTGTTATTGAGGACCAATAGATGATTGATCATGCAAATGTGTTCGTAGCATATTTCTATAAATGGAAACTAAGCTTAGCAAAAAGGACATCCAAAATTAAGCTTGGGAAAGCTAAAAAGTTAATTCTTAAACTTGATGGCATGGAGATTGACTGAAAATCCACAAATTTCTAATGATAAATCATTGAACCAGTGGGAAAAGTGTTCTGTTGTCATTTTTATTTTGTACGAGAATGTTGTGTAAGAAGGTAAAGGATCTTTGATATTGAGCTGCATCGCATACACTGTTACATGTTGAAAGCCTAACGTTGCTGAATGGTTTGCTATCTAATTTTGTCTCCAGCGGCCTCATGACCATATTCTACCTGTACAAGATTGCAACTGGTGGAAA